CCCCCCGTTGTGCCACATGGTGATAAAGATTTTAAGTTGAAGGAAGGTCTTTCATGAAGGTTGGTAGGATGAGAACATATTGGGGGTTAGTGTCTAAAACACTGAACAAGTGTTCAGTGCATGAATAATGGATCCTTTCAGGTCTAAATTTGGGCTTTCGTGTCTGAGCACAAGACTGGGAACCCAATTCTGAGCCTGATGGGAAAGTCTGTGGTCTAGTGTAGGGGTTCGCCTGGAGGATGGCAGAATCCCATGGGGCCCGCTGACATGCCCACTCACCGTCCGTCTGTAGGGTCCACTCAATGTGAATCACAGGGACGAGGTCTCCACGTTGGGTATAGGCAAAGTTCAGCTGAACTTGGACATCTTTGGGGGATGAAGGGGTCAGGTTTCGAGGGTGGATCCAGCTGTCATCCAGGCAGGTACCTGTAGCCAGGAAAAGCAGAAATCAGAGGCTTGCATGCTCTGCAAGAAACTGAAGCATGCTAGCAAGATGCTCAGCAGTGGGTCCAGAGAGCTGGATCTTAAACATACAGGAGCCTATGATCCTTGGCAGGGGTCTCAGCTTCCTCTCCCTGTCCCCCTTTTCTTCATGCTTGTCTGGGGTCACTGCTTAGCTCTGAAGTCTAAAGGGTGTTTCAGGAGAGAAGACAAAGTGCATGACTTTGTTCTGAGGTGAAGTGGTGGTTGGAAATGGGGGCAGAGGAAAGATGGGGCAGTGATAAGAGCTGTTTTATTCAAGGGTCCCTAGACACTTGAAACATGTGCCTCCTTCTTTAATTAAAACAAAACAAAATCAACAGCATAGATCTCGCTCACTTTACAGTGACAAGCTCTGGTGAATCAAGTCGGATTACAGACACACCAGGGCAGCACCCCAGAGGATCCTCTCAAAATCCGAAGGACAGTTCTGCTTCTCACTTCCTGATTTTTGCCTAATGAATATTCTTGATAGGAAGTGCAGGTGTGTGCATCGAATGTTTTCAAGGACACCTCCTGTTGACGTAGCCCTCATCCTCAAGCAGAAGAGGAATAGCGGCACTTCTGTCAGGGATCTGCACCAGGTCAGCACTTCATTAACAAAGCAACAAGAATAAAAAAAGACGACTTACTATTCTTGATTGTGCAGTTTAGCTCCTGTGGGAAAAAAGAATTAATTTCAGCATTGGAAGAACTTTAATTCACAAACCAGGCTCCAGATACTTCCCTCTGGCTCATTCTCAAGAATAAAATATACACAGCCCTCCCTTCTCACTTCTGGGGGCCAGTATGGGGAGGGGTACCATATTCCCCTCACACTTTTCTCATCCTGCCCAACTGAGGACAAACAGGATGAGAAGTGGGAATAGTGGATGGCAAAACGGAACTGGTGTTTTCTGAGTAACCAGTATGAGCTGGGAACCTTCCAACTTTAAAAGACACTGAGAAGGTTCTCCTGGGGTGCCCTGGTGGAAGGCCTCTAAATCTCTTGAGGCTTCCAATCTTCTGTCTGGAAACAGTACTGCAAGACGGGGAAAACCAAAACCACAGTCCGTGTTACAGAAATTTACTAAGTCCCTACCAACGCCCTAGGGAAAATGTGCCAGATGCTGTTCTGGGTGATTTATATATATTGTCTCACGAACTCTCATAACACACTTATGACTACTTAAGTGTCCTTAGCCCTACTTCATAGATGAGGAAACTGAAGCACACATTACATTAAACTGCCTTCTACTGTGTTAACTCTCTAACCTAGAGAGCTGGAGGGCCAAATTTAGAAACCTCAATTACAAACATTTTTAGGGAAATGTAATCACTGAGCTGAAGTTTAGCCAGCTGACCCTGCTTTGGAAAAACGCACATACTCGTACACCCCTGGAGCTTAGTCTCCTCAAAATACCTAACATTGCAAATTTTGATTTGTTCAACTGTAAAATCAGAATAACCACAGTACCAATTTCATAGTGTTGTTGAGAATTGAATGATACAAACTGAAATAAAGATCTTGGAGCAGGGAGTGGGTTGGTGGTGATGGTGGTGTGTATGTAAGATGCCTTTCCCTTCTAGTATGTCTGCATTATAAACAGTTTCAAATAATGGGAATGTACCTGTGTACTAGTTATACAATTAAGTAAAATAATACATGCTCCACACTGTTAAACAAGCAGCTTACTAGAAGCCCTACGAGAATCATTGTGAGGAATGGTGTTGGCTGCAGTGCTCAGAGAACCATCTCACTGCCTGCTAAATGAGATCATATTTGTCCAGTGTCTGGCACATATGTGTGCTCTGTAATTATTGACTCCCCTTCTTTAGAGACTGGCATATAATAAGTACTCAACTAATGGAAGCTACTATTGTATGGGGTGACCTCCACACACTCAGACTTGGCAGTGGAGCGAGGGAGGACTCAGGCTCAGGTGTTTCCAGTTATCTTAACTGGTAAAATGGACCAAACACATCCCGTGGGGCAGAAAGTCTGATGTGGAAGTGGACCAGAGATATGATTTTAAGGACAACAGAGATTTGGTATATGCATGTAAAAGGGCACTGGGGTCCGCACCTGCCTTTCTCTCAAGAGGGACCAGAGAGGCTAAGGAACGGGACGGGGAAGACGCTGTCCTATCACAGTTCACTCACAAGCGGATGAAGGGATAATATCCTAAAAGCATGCCATTTCATTCGTAACCTACCTTTCTGGGATACCAGTTCAAAAGCCCTTGGGGTCCCAACTTTCTGTATCCTGTCTGGCTCCTCAGGGTTAGTTCTCATGTACTGGTCCCAGGGCCATCACAGCCCTGTGAGGATTCCTCACATGTTCAACAAGATCCATCTAGTTGCCTCTGCTCTCAGACAAGTGTCACTGTTTCTTGAATGGTGAGATTAACTTCCCTGAACACTCTATTTCTCCTCTCACTTGGACTGGGGCACAGAGGACAAGAAACTGGTTCTTTGACCTTGATATATCTCCATCCCTCACACCTTTTCCTAAGAAATTGCAAGGATATGCTCCAGCAAAATGAGGGTGTTAACCTCTGAGAAGGAAGACACAGGATGCAGGACATGGGAGCTTTAAACACGACAGGATATCTAGTATGACGGTTATGCCACAGGCCTAGAGAATAATCAGTCCACATTGGAGCTGAGAACACAGGGCTCTGGGAGGTGGTTCTCTGGGGTGAGGGGGAATGAAATTGATGGAATATCTGATGTTTGCAGAAAAAAACATATAACAAATCTGACAGAAAAATCTAAGACTAGTTACATGGAAAAATTATAGAAGTTAAAAATTAAAACAATTATCTCCAGAGGGAACAGTAATTATACCAAAAAAGAAACATAATCAAAAGTACACACATTTGCCTCATCAGTGAGGTTTATTTACTTGTTATAATACTGACTACAGATTTAACTAAAATTGTGATATGACTACAATGGGAAGATTGGGAGGAGATGCAGTGGGAGGAGGGCAATATAAGACATTTAGATTCTCATCTATTGTAAGTCAATAGATAATATCTAAAATTGACAAATCAAGAATAACAATATAAGTATATTTAGAAAGATGGACACAAATGCCAGAATAACTAAAAGGAGTAGAAGTGATTGTCTTTGGGACACAGCATTTTATACACATATCTCATATAATCTTTTTAACAGTGCTCTGAGGTAAGTACCGTTATCCCATTTTTACTGATGAAAAAACTGAGGCACAGGAAGATCAGCTAAGTGGCCCAAGGTCCCACAAAGCTAACACTCAAGCCCATGAAGCTTTGTTCCAGAGCCCATGCTCCCAATCACTGCTATAATGCCTCTCTAAATCAAAAGAGGGATGCCTACCACAGGTGGGCCAATATTCTCTACCCATCACGGTGAGGATTAAAAGGAAGAAATAAAAGACTGCTCTGTCTGTTCAATGGCCACCGCCCAGTGCCTGGTAAAGAGAAGTAAGCTCTGAAGGCCCTGCTTTGATTCTCAGCTCAGCACTCACTAGGGTGTGACCCGAGCCAGTCACCTAACCTCTCTAACCCCGGTGAATCATGCCTGCCTGGCAGGGTGTTGTGAGCGCTGCATGAAGTTCTACATGCGAGCCTCGGCACAGGGCCTACACAAAGCTGTAGAAAAACATTAGTGAGTGTCCTCGCACTTCCCAAAGCCACAGCCCACGTGGTCAGGCACTTTTGCTCTCCCCATGACCCTATTAGGTGAGGATCATCTCCTTTTACAGACACCAGCTCCATGCAATGGAGTGACCAACCAGGGCTACAGAGCAGGAGAGATGGGAGCCCAGGCCCTCTGACTCAGCCGAGTGTCCTCTTCCCTGCACGGCATCACTTCCAGTTGCTATTCGATGTCAGTCTCTATTAAATGGAAGGCTAGCCTGACAGGAGCAATGAGAAGTCAGGTATGATGGCCAAGAAACCTGTTCACTTTGCGGGTTCTACCACCAGCAGTGACCCCAGCCCTGACTTCCCAGGCGCCTACACCACCCAAGAGCATCCACAGAACACAACTTTTACACTCTGAAAGAATGACACGGCCGAAAGCAGCTTCTGGCAACCAGAAGATAAGGGTTAAACAAAACAGTTATTCTACCACAAGTCAAAACTGCAAGTGCTCAGGGAAAATAATGAATTTGTAACACTATACACACACTGTCTAAAAAATTGTGTTAACACCCAGTGACCAACTCCAAGTCACGGGTCACGGTGGTCTTTGACTGTGGGCTTTCTTCTCCCCACCCCAGTCAAGGAAACCTGATCAAGTAAAGCCCCAGCAAGGGGAAGGGCCAACAAAAGACTGCCCTGGGAACTGCAATTACTTATGGTTCCTCCAGTATTGATTTCTGTGGGGCAATTCAAAGTCATCCGGGTTTTGAGGCACTAAATCCAGGAAGCCAGAAAGAGTGCTTGGCCTGGTCTGTTTATCACTGCTTTTCAAGCAGAATTAACCACTCAAGCCCCCACATCCTGTCCTTGCAGCACTGGGCTAGGAACAGAACAGGCAAGTGGGAGGCTCCTCCTCTCATCTTGCCAGAGTCACAGATAGCTAAAGCCAACTGGACTCTGGTTGGACAGTTACATTCTGGAAAGTGGTGTGGGCCCACTTTGAGATGGTTCACCCAGCCCTTTTATTGTGGAAATGAGGAAACCCAAGCGCAGGCAGCCTAAAATGCCCAAGGTTGCAGAGACTATAAGTAGTCAAGTCAGGATGTAAACCCAGATCCTCTGAGGTCAAGTTTGTGGCTTTCCCTCTCCTCATTATATGGAGTTGCAGCCACTAAAACACCAGCTGAGTGAGAGAAATCTGAAGGGTGTAGTTTCTTTCTTTTTAAAGGGACTAGTCAATAAAGCAAGGAAGCTGTTTGTCATGGTCTGTGAGCCAGGTGTATGCAGAGCAAGTGGAAGGAAGAGCCTGGAGATCACAGACAAATCTGGCATCTGTCTTCTGCCCTCTCTGGAATCATGTGGTGCCCTTACTCCTGACGTTTAGTGGCTTCCCGCTAAGCAATTCATGCCAAATGTTTTTAGCCCAGCTCTCATGCCACCACAAGGGAGTCTATACCCCCTCTTAGCTTTTTTTCACTTTCCAGCTACACGCCTTATCCTGCTCACCCAAAGGCCTAGGCTCAGCCCCTTTTCACCACATGGAGTGCTCAACAACTGTCTATGAGGCTCCTACCACGCCTAAATGGCTTCTCTGCCACAAAGAATCCCGCAGGGAAGTAATTTTTCTTTTCGCTGGAACTGTGTACACTCACTGGATGTACCAAGAGCACCTCCCACCAGTTACCACCTTCAAGCCTTTTACCTCCAGGTTGATTTAAGTCCCTTGGACATTAGGGTTTCTTTACAGTTTCAGTTCCCAGCAACAGTACCGTGTTCTTCGCAGGCATCTGGCAAATGGCCATCACAATGTGAATTTGGAATCCTCCAGGATAGAATAGTTCTTACCAAGTCTGTGGGAAGGATCTGCTGAGCATATGTCCCCTACTTGGCCCAAATAGGGGGAGTCACAAGGACTTTCCCCAACTCATTCACATTAAAAATTTTTTCCCCTGGGCCGGCCGAGTGGCGCGATGGTTAAGAGCTCGCTTGGGATGCCGGAGGGCCCCGGTTCGGATCCCACATATGAGGGCCAGTGACGCTGCCCTCTACGGCTGGGATGCTGAACAACAGCTCAACCTGGAGCTGGGCTGCCGTGGGTCGCCGGCGACGGCGTGGGCTGCAGCCCCTGTGGCGGTGGGTTGCCATGGGCTGCCGTGTGTGGCCAGCAGCCAGCGTGAGCGGCCAGCAGCCAGCGTGAGCGGCCAGCAGCCGCAGTGAGCGGCCGTCCAGAGGCCGGCGACTGATCTGCCTCGCCCGGGAAGAGCGCAATGATGGTGCCAACTTGG